TCATTTAAAATCTTATCTGCAGTCGTCCTGTTTGATTAGTCAAGGTGTGGAATAAAACAAGGAAGTTGAAGTAGATTGAGACGCTGAAAATACAAGTATATCATGTTTGATATTTTTCTTATTGTTCTAATTTTCATTTCCTGAAGGAAATACCGGTTTTGCTATGAAAACCAATGGTGTGAAACCAAAAATGTTTGAATCGAGGAATGGGGAAGAAAGTCAGAAAGCAGAAATTGAATCTGATTTTCTTTATTGAGGGATTTCAATAAAGTTCTGCATTGCTACCGTAATGAATATCCATGAATTACTGCGAGACTGAGATAAATTCTGTCTAATCGGCTGCAATAGATGAAAGAAAATGACATCATAGCCCAACTTTGCTGGTGAATGATAAATTAATCTACTGTCATTCAAAATCCACTCATTATTAGAAATCTGGATTTTATACAATTTTACTATATCTAGACTCGATCATCATCCATTCAGGCTATCAAGACAATACTGTAGGTGGCAGCATGTCCTTTTAAATGCACATATACGCTCTAAAAAATGCTGGGTTGTTTCATTATTTACTGAATAATAGTTTGGGTCAAATATAGGACAAACTCAACAGCCGGTTTACTTTTTTAATATTATTGTTATAAATTTGAACCGAACGGTTGGATTTGTCTATAATTGACCCAAACATGGGTTGAAACAACCCAGAATTTTTAGAGTGCAATTATTATCATTACATTCTCACGTGTGCAGACAAACATATTTGTCTTCCAAGTGTTGCAGGAAGTTTTGGGTGTTCACCTTTACCCACCACACCTAAAATTCATGTCATAGTCCTCATTGTAAGGAGAGGACTGACAATACCTCACTTTACTTCGGCACTTAAATTCAAGTGACTCTGCTTTTGCTTTTAACACAGTCCACTTACAGCTATTTACTAAAACATCTCCCTCCTCTTCAATTCAACAAATATATATTTTTTTTATATTTTTCAAACTGTAAACAGGCCCAAATTGTTGGACAACCATTTCAAGAAGATTCTTTCAAAAGGAAAATTGGGATCTTTCGATAAAGTACACTGTTAGAAAAATAAGAGTTCTATATTTGTAGCATGGGGTTCTTTATTCAACTCCAAAGAACCTTTTCTGCTAAAAAAAAAAGTTCTATGATGACAAGAAAGAACCCTTTTGGCACAAAAGGTTCTTTATAGGCTATTATTCATTACATTATTCTGCAACAATTACAGTAGTTGTAATTAAATAATTGTTTTGTAATAACTTAATATCGCATTTTAATCATGCTGATGTTTGGAGGAGAAAAACTGAAATGGACTTCGTGTGATATTGATTAACTACATAAAATGATATAAATATATTAGGGCTGTGAAACGATTAATCACGATTAATCGCATCCAAAATAAAAGTTTGACTTTACATAATATATGTAATATGTATGTAGTGTGTATAATTATTTTGTATATATAAATATACATGTATATATTTAAGAATTTTTTTAAATATATTAAATATTTATTAAATATATACATGCATGTGTGTGTGTATTTATATATACAAAATAATCATACACACTACACACACATTTATTATGTAAACACAAACTTTTATTTTGGATGCGATTAATCGTTTCACAGCCCTAAAATAAATACATTTTCTAACCCCCATATCTTGAATTTTGTGATCATTCACATGCATTCATAAATACATTTTAGGGTCTTGATGTTTGTCAATAATATGAAATATTTAATCTGGAAAGGACAAAACAAATGATAACGAATGAACCCAAAAAATTCCATATAGAACCTTTTTCCTGGTTACAAAGAACCCTAAAGGGTTCTTATTATTGAACCCTTAAAAAGGGTTCTGTAGAACCTTTTAGGGGTTCCAAATACGTAGCGCTGATAGAACCTTTTCTTCTAAGAGTGTATAAATCTAATCTTGAGCAACTGTAAGCACACCGAATTTTTCAGGAACGTCTAATATAGCCCTATAATGAATGTAATTGTAGCTATATACCATATAAAACCATATGGGCTGTAGTCATAATTTCAACCAAATTAGGTAAACATGAGGCCTTCTGATTAAGAAAAAAGACAAATTAAACAATAGTGAGTTCATGTCAGAAGCTCAACAGGTTTGATTTTCAGGTGTATTTTTTACATTTTTCTCAACCATGTAAAAGACATTGTGCGTCAGTTTCCTTTTACGTAAACATTCCTTTAAAGCAGTCAATTAAAATACATTATCTGTCTGAATAATTGTTGTTAAAAGTCTATAATAGATTTTTTGATTTTTTAATAGAATAGAAACAATGAATTGTTTTAAATAATAAAAAAAAAATTTAAAAAAAAAAGAGTAATTTGTTTGGTTTTTTTACCACAACATTTAGAACGTTCGCATTTTGCCAACAAAAACACCACAAGGGTAACTCCTGTATCTAAGGAAAAGGTGTAGAGTATATTTATAAACCAGGTTTAAGAAATACACCAGGTTTATTGACTACTAAAAATATGCATGTCTCAGCACTACAGTTTTATCTGTTAAGTGTGGGGGTGAGTGACGCTTTCTTTGAGAATGGCTGAGGTTAAACCCTCTTAGAAACGTCAAGGAACTGTGTCAGAATGTAAGGAATGCTTTGGTAAACTTTTTTTCCCTGTTTTGTCATCTAATCGCACATGTAATCATGATTAACTTACGCAGGACTCTTAAAAAGTATGTGCTCCACTATCATCAGAATATATCGTCACAATATTCCTGTAATTAATGGGAAACTGGTTTTGATGTTTTTGTTGTCTTTCTTTCCACTAAAAGACTATTCATGACGTAATAACGACAAATTCAGAGATTTATTCTTAAACCAAATTGTATGCAAGTGTTAGGAATTGCTCTGTGCGGCGAATAATTCTTGATTGAAATAAAATGAAAACAGTGAGATAGCCATAAGTGAATGACGTAAATATTTCAATTAAAAATGTGAAGCATTATGGCTTTATCAAGTTATTTAACAGTTTCTATAAAGAATCCTGGCTTGTTGCACAGACCACACCTTTTAGACACCCACAATACAAAAGATAAAAATTTAGAAAAAAAAAAAAAACATCACAGCGTCTGGCAAGGGACATTCCATTTAGCTTATCCGTGCATATCAGTGAAGTAAAAAAGCACAATCCGGACGTCACTGAGTCCTATTTAAGAAGAAGCGGCACAGGTTTTTCAGGAGAAGTGAAAGACTGGAGTACTTAAGTAGGCTACTTATCAGTACTTAAACCCACTTAGACGACAGCGGATTACAAAATCAACAGAAAAATAATCTAGCCAAGAATTGGTGAGGATATTTCATTTTCCTAAATATGTGTGTTAATTTTATTCATATTATAAAGTAATTTTTACTGTTAGAAATAGCATAAAGAGACATAATGCAAATTAAAGCATTTCTATGTTAATGATATATAGAATATAGTATGATAAAATGTACCATTTTTTTTTTGAGATTGCAGTAGTCTATTTTGTATGAAATGTGTCTGATTGGAATATTTACGCAGTCACAGAAATTGTTACAGCATGATATTTTGTTCACAAATGAATTAATTTATTTTGATATTGATTAGAAAATGTATTCTCTATTTGACATGCCCATTATCATTTGTTTACTGAACCCTTTGTGTTTGATATTAAGGAGCTATTATTAGAGAATATTGTAGTTTGGATGATGATTATCGGTTGAAATTTGCGTAAAATTTTGTGTGATAAATAGAAGTTAAAAAATAATCATGATGTCAAGATGTATGGTGTCCAGATTTCTTTAGTTGGAGTAGAACAAGGACATGAATAGATAACTGTTAATTCTAGAGTGTAAACTTTTGCATGATAATTTATTATCATTTCTGATGTTGGGTAGAGGGTGGAGAATTGTCAAAACATGAAAATTATTTAATAGTTTGTAGGTTATGTTTACTCTAACCGATGTTGTTTCGTAATGGCATCTGATGCCGTCTGGTGTTGTCTGACATTTGTTGCAGTGATGCGTGTTATATGCAGTGATGTATGCTAATGAATGTACATAGATTGCTACTAAGACTGAATAGAAATTACATTTCGAAAATTGTAGTTAGTTATGTAATGTATTACATTACATTACACATTTCAGGTAATATACTTTACTTTTTGATGACTTTTTTACTTTTGATCTACCTCAATTATCTATTGAAGCCTGCTTATGCCCAGTAAGATAAAAAAAATATTATGTGTGTATATATATATATATATATATATATATATATATATATTTGTGAGATTATATCTGAATTCGAGAAATATAAGTCATGTGATAAGATTTCCGTGAGACGTTCCTATTGATGATAAAATGCGCAACCTATTTAATTTCAATTGAAAATGTACCACTGTAAAACACTATGGAGAAAGTCAAACATGATCTAAAACAGCCACATAAACTAAAAAACTTATAAAAAGAGGGAAAATCATCATCCTGCACGGACATAAATTTAAAAGCTTTAGAAAACTATGGCCACCTTTACTAGAATTTATCATGTTCTATTATATTTATTGTGGTAAATTTTGACTAACTTGTAGAATTCATAATAGATAATCCCCTGGGACCTTGTTAAATGATTCACACATCAACACCCCTCAATGTTCAAATTAAAACAAAATGGAACTCAGGGACACACCCATATTTGGGAGTGCCGGCACTACTTTCCCACTTCAAGCACTGATGTATGCATGTACTGTATGTGTAAATAAACTTTGTGCATATTGGTTGCTTTGCAGACTGTTATCGTCACCACTGGACTTTTCCCAGAATGAAGTGGAAATCTTTTATTATCATTTGCATTTTTCTTGGTAGGTGAATCAAATCATGCTCAGAAAAAAACAAAAATAATATTGCTTCAATGCACTTGTTTGTAAAATATACATGTGCAAAATATTAAATAAAAAATGTAAAAGTACACTAACTTTTTGTTTTCTTTAGCAACGTTCCAAAATGAAAGAACTCAGGCCACAACATTATCAGCCGACACAACAACAGAAGCATCCACCAGTACTGTAGTTACCACAACACCACCACAAACAACAGCCGAATCCTCCACAACACCTACAATGACAACAGTGGCCTCAGCAACCACTACAGTTCCTGTTGAAACATCCACCACAACAGCAGGAGAAACCACAGCAACACCACAAACTACTGCTACAACAGCTGAATCTTCCACAACACCTACAATAACAACAGTGGCCTCAGCAACCACTACAGTTCCTGTTGAAACATCCACCACTACAGCAGGAGAAACCACAGCAACACCACAAACTACAGCTACAACAGCTGAATCCTCAACACCTACAATAACAACAGTGGCCTCAGCAACCACTACAGTTCCTGTTGAAACATCCACCACTACAGCAGGAGAAACCACAGCAACACCACAAACCACTGCTACAACAGCTGAATCCTCAACAACACCTACAATAACAACAGTGGCCTCAGCAACCACTACAGTTCCTGTTGAAACATCCACCACTACAGCAGGAGAAATCACAACACCACAAACTACAGCTACAACAGCTGAATCCTCAACAACACCTACAATAACAACAGTGGCCTCAGCAACCACTACAGTTCCTGTTGAAACATCCACCACTACAGCAGGAGAAACCACAACAACACCACAAACTACAGCTACAACAGCTGAATCTTCCACAACACCTACAATAACAACAGTGGCCTCAGCAACCACTACAGTTCCTGTTGAAACATCCACCACTACAGCAGGAGAAACCACAGCAACACCACAAACTACAGCTACAACAGCTGAATCCTCAACAACACCTACAATAACAGTGGCCTCAGCAACCACTACAGTTCCTGTTGAAACATCCACCACTACAGCAGGAGAAATCACAACACCACAAACTACAGCTACAACAGCTGAATCCTCAACAACACCTACAATAACAACAGTGGCCTCAGCAACCACTACAGTTCCTGTTGAAACATCCACCACTACAGCAGGAGAAACCACAGCAACACCACAAACTACAGCTACAACAGCTGAATCCTCAACAACACCTACAATAACAGTGGCCTCAGCAACCACTACAGTTCCTGTTGAAACATCCACCACTACAGCAGGAGAAACCACAGCAACACCACAAACTACAGCTACAACAGCTGAATCTTCCACAACACCTACAATAACAACAGTGGCCTCAGCAACCACTACAGTTCCTGTTGAAACATCCACCACTACAGCAGGAGAAACCACAGCAACACCACAAACTACAGCTACAACAGCTGAATCCTCAACAACACCTACAATAACAACAGTGGCCTCTGCAACCACTACAGTTCCTGTTGAAACATCCACCACTACAGCAGGAGAAATCACAACAACACCACAAACTACAGCTACAACAGCTGAATCTTCCACAACACCTACAATAACAACAGTGGCCTCAGCAACCACTACAGTTCCTGTTGAAACATCCACCACTACAGCAGGAGAAATCACAACAACACCACAAACTACAGCTACAACAGCTGAATCTTCCACAACACCTACAATAACAACAGTGGCATCAGCAACCACTACAGTTCCTGTTAAAACATCCACCACTACAGCAGGAGAAATGACAACAACACCACAAACTACTGCTACAACAGCTGAATCCTCAACAACACCTACAATAACAGTGGCCTCAGCAACCACTACAGTTCCTGTTGAAACATCCACCACTACAGCAGGAGAAATCACAACACCACAAACTACAGCTACAACAGCTGAATCCTCAACAACACCTACAATAACAACAGTGGCCTCAGCAACCACTACAGTTCCTGTAGAAACATCCACCACTACAGCAGGAGAAACCACAGCAACACCACAAACTACAGCTACAACAGCTGAATCTTCCACAACACCTACAATAACAACAGTGGCATCAGCAACCACTACAGTTCCTGTTGAAACATCCACCACTACAGCAGGAGAAATGACAACAACACCACAAACTACTGCTACAACAGCTGAATCCTCAACAACACCTACAATAACAACAGTGGCCTCAGCAACCACTACATTTCCTGATGAAACATCCACCACTACACCAGGTGAAATCACAACAACACCACAAACTACAGCTACAACAGCTGAATCTTCTACAACACCTACAATAACAACAGTGGCCTCAGCAACCACTACAGTTCCTGATGAAACGTCCACCACTACAGCAGGAGAAATCACAACAACACCACTAACTACAGTTACAACTGCTGAATCCTCCACAACACCAACAGATTCTTCCACAGTTCCCACTATTCTTACTGGAACATCCACCACTAGCGAAGCTTCTACTTTGACTTCAGTTAGTTCATCTTCACCAGCCTTTGAAAGTACAACTGTTAGTAAATCCACATCATCTAAAGCTTTCACAGCATCTACAGCGTTAACAGAGTCTCCAGCATTAACAGCATCTACATCATCAACAGAATCTACAGCTTCAACAGAATCTACAGCATCAACAACATCTACACCATCAACAGAATCTACAGCTTCAACAGAGTCTACAGCTTCAACAGCATCTACACCATCAACAGAATCTACAGCTTCAACAGCATCTACACCATCAACAGAATCTACAGCTTCAACAGCATCTACACCATCAACAGAATCTACACCATCAACAGAATCTACAGCTTCGACAGCATCTACACCATCAACAGAATCTACAGCTTCAACAGCATCTACACCATCAACAGAATCTACAGCTTCAACAGAATCTACAGCTTCAACAGAATCTACAGCATCAACAGAATCTACAGCTTCAACAGCATCTACACCATCAACAGAATCTAAAGCTTCAACAGCATCTACACCATCAACAGAATCTACAGCTTCAACAGCATCTACAGCTTCAACAGAATCTACAGCTTCAACAGAGTCCACAGCTTCAACAGCATCTACACCATCAACAGAATCTACAGCTTCAACAGCATCTACAGCTTCAACAGAATCTACAGCTTCAACAGCATCTACACCATCAACAGAATCTACAGCTTTAACAAAATCTACACCATCAACAGAATCTACAGCTTCAACAGCATCCACACCATCAACAGAATCTACAGCTTCAACAGAGTCCACAGCTTCAACAGCATCCACACCATCAACAGAATCTACAGCTTCAACAGCATCTACACCATCAACAGAATCTACAGCATCAACAGAATCTACAGCTTCAACAGCATCTACACCATCAACAGAATCTACAGCTTCAACAGCATCTACACCATCAACAGAATCTACAGCTTCAACAGAGTCTAAAGCTTCAACAGTATCTACACCATCAACAGAAGCTACAGCTTCAACAGCATCTACACCATCAACAGAATCTACAGCTTCAACAGCATCTACACCATCAACAGAATCTACAGCTTCAACAGCATCTACACCATCAACAGAATCTACAGCTTCAACAGCATCTACACCATCAACAGAATCTACAGCTTCAACAGCATCTACACCATCAACAGAATCTACAGCTTCAACAGCATCTACACCATCAACAGAATCTACAGCTTCAACAGCATCTACACCATCAACAGAATCTACAGCTTCAACAGCATCTACACCATCAACAGAATCTACAGCTTCAACAGAATCTACACCATCAACAGAATCTACACCATCAACAGCATCTACACCATCAACAGAATCTACAGCTTCAACAGTATCTACACCATCAACAGAATCTACACCATCAACAGCATCTACACCATCAACAGAATCTACACCATCAACAGAATCTACAGCTTCAACAGCATCTACACCATCAACAGAATCTACAGCTTCAACAGCATCTACACCATCAACAGAATCTACAGCTTCAACAGCATCTACACCATCAACAGAATCTACACCATCAACAGAATCTACAGCTTCAACAGCATCTACACCATCAACAGAATCTACAGCTTCAACAGCATCTACACCATCAACAGAATCTACAGCTTCAACAGCATCTACACCATCAACAGAATCTACAGCTTCAACAGCATCTACACCATCAACAGAATCTACAGCTTCAACAGCATCTACACCATCAACAGAATCTACAGCTTCAACAGCATCTACACCATCAACAGAATCTACAGCTTCAACAGAATCTACACCATCAACAGCATCTACACCATCAACAGAATCTACAGCTTCAACAGCATCTACACCATCAACAGAATCTACACCATCAACAGAATCTACAGCATCAACAGCATCTACAGCATCAACAGCATCTACACCATCAACAGCATCTACACCATCAACAGAATCTACACCATCAACAGCATCTACACCATCAACAGAATCTACAGCTTCAACAGTATCTACACCATCAACAGCATCTACAGCTTCAACAGCTTCAACAGCATCAACAGAATCTACACCATCAACAGAATCTACAGCATCAACAGCATCTACACCATCAACAGCATCTACAGCTTCAACAGCATCTAGAGAATCTACAGCTTCAACAGAATCTACAGCATCAACGGCATCTACACCATCAACAGCATCTACACCATCAACAGCATCTACAGCTTCAACAGCATCTACAGAATCTACAGCTTCAACAACATCTACAGCTTCAACAACATCTACAGCTTCAACAACATCTACAGCTTCAACAACATCTACAGCTTCAACAACATCTACACCTTCAACAACATCTACACCTTCAACAACATCTACACCTTCAACAACAACTACTACAAAAATACCTGAGGTGTTAACTGACCTGGTGTTTCGGTCTTCGGACACATTTATAGAAGCTCTCAGTGACAAAAACTCAGAGGAGTTCAAGTCTAGGTCTAACCTTGTCACAAATCAGGTGAGTTCAAATCCATTTACTTAATTTACTGGAACACACACTAAATATTACTTGACTTTTAAGCTTAAAGTTAAAAGAAGAGACAACAATTATGTAATCAACACTCATATATTCCGATACTCTATTGTAACTGATGTCTGTAATTGTTTGTTGTCTGTTCCAGCTTGAAGGAATTTACAGACCCAAGTATGCTAACTTCCTCAGAGCGATCGTCAAAGAATTCAGGTAAATACACCATACTGCAATGTTGCTTATTTTGAGTGTGTGTGTGTGTGTGTGTGCTTGTCAGAGCAAAAAAGAAAGAGAATTTAAGCTAACAATTATTTCAACATTAATATATTCCAGACCAGGGTCAATCATCACAGCAACTCAAATAGTCTTCAGCCTCAACCAATCAGTCCCCTCCATTCAAGAGATTTCAAACACCCTCTTGACAGCAGCGGCAGAAGGAGGAAGTGTCGATTTACTAAACATAATTCCTGGATCAATTTCAGTCAATGGTTCAGGTAAGCTCTATTACTCCATAGATTTATAGGGCCCTATTTTAACGATCTGAAATGCAAGTGTCAAAATGCGAAGCGCAAGTAACTTTGTGGACAGATCCCGGCGTTGTTGCTATTTTCCCGGCGGGATAAATGCCTCTTGCGCCTGGCTCAAATCTAAAAGGGGTTGGTTTGAAATAGCTTCATTATTCATAGGTGTGGTTTGGGCGTAACAGAAATAAACCAATAAGAGTGTCATATCACATTCCCTTTAAGAGCATGATGAACGAGGTGCGCTTGTTCCATGGCGCAATTCTATTTTGACGGCTCATTTACCAGAGCATCGGTTCACAGCCGAGAAAATCGATGTTCTCATCAGAGCCGTGAAAGAAAGAGAAGTGACATTGGGGATGGGACAAACCCACCCAAATTAGCTTCGGTTAAACATGCATATAATAATTTGGGTAAATGTGTAAGCTTTATGCCTATTTTTCCCATCGTCATGGACACAACAATGATTTCCCTCATGTATATATTGTCTTATAATAATGTATCATTTGCAAAAAGTAAAATGCATCCGTGTAGATGAGAGAATCCTCTACAGTGTATGCGTGTTGTTCACTCTCTGTATTATGGCCAAGCATGCGCACTTAAAATAGCATCTGAATGTACGACCAACTGACTTTAGACCAGGTTTTTTCTGGTCATTGGCGTAATTGTTTTCTGGAATTGCAAAATAGCACTAGGGATTGTTTGCGCCGACACACGCCTCCTTTTTGTGCCAACCCGCCATGGGAGTGCAAGTTCATTTCTTAGTTTACCGGCGTGCGTCTGTGGGGGAAAAAGGCCTGCTTTGCGCGAGTGCCAAATAGGAATGATAAATGCGTCAGTGAATAAAGTCATTTGCGCCGGGTGCAAGATAGAGCCCACAGTCTTCAATAACTTGTATCATGGAAATGGGACACCCAAAACATTTTTTTTTTTTTAATCTATATTTGTTCTTGTTTTTTGCTCATTTTCACTGTAGTTACATAGCTCAAATGTACTGAGTGATATTAATTAACTACATGTACTTACTATAGAGTTACGGTTAGGGTACATAGTACCATATGTACAGCATGTACTATAGTAAGTACATGTAATTGTATAACTACTTCACCTTAACATAAAGTATAACCAAAAAAAGGGAGATCCAACTAATTTTCATATCTTTTATTACACCTTCAGCAACATCTACAGCTTCAACAACAACATCTACAGCTTCAACAACAACATCTAGAGCTTCAACAACAACTACTACAAAAATACCAGAGGTTATCACTGACCTGGTGTTTCGGTCTTCGGACACATTTATAGAAGCTCTCAGTGACAAAAACTCAGAGGAGTTCAAGTCTAGGTCTAACCTTGTCACAAATCAGGTGAGTTCAAATCTATTTACTTAATTTACTGGAACACGCACTAAATATTACTTGACTTTTAAGCTTAAAGTTAAAAGAAGAGACAACAATTATGTAACCAACACTCATATATTCCGATACTCTATTGTAACTGATGTCTGTAATTGTTTGTTGTCTGTTCCAGCTTGAAGGAATTTACAGACCCAAGTATGCTAACTTCCTCAGAGCGAGCGTCCTAGAATTCAGGTAAATACACCATACTGCAATGTTGCTTATATTGAGTGTGTGTGTGTGCGTGCTTGTCAGAGAGAGCAAAAAAGAAAGAGAATTTAAGCTAACAATTATTTCAACATTAATATATTCCAGACGAGGGTCAATCATCACAGCAACTCAAATAGTCTTCAGCTTCAACCAATCAGTCCCCTCCATTCAAGAGATTTCAAACACCCTCTTGACAGCAGCGGCAGAAGGAGGAAGTGTCGATTTACTAAACATAATTCCTGGATCAATTTCAGTCAATGGTTCAGGTAAGCTCTATTCCTCCATAGATTTATAGTCTTCAATAACTTGTATCATGGAAATGGGACACCCAAAACATTTTTTGTTTTGTTTTTATCTATATTTGTTCTTGTTTTTTGCTCATTTTCACTGTAGTTACATTGCTCAAAATGTACTGAGTGATATTAATTAACTACAAGTACTTACTATAGAGTTACGGTTAGGGTACATATGTACTGCATGTACTATAGTAAGTACATGTAATCATATAACTACTTCACCTAAATAACTTTCTATAGGGAGATCCAACTAATTTGCATATCTTTTATTACAGCTTCAACTACAACTATCGCTCCTACAGTAACTACTGCTTCAAGTGGATTAAAGATTGAATCCAGTCTGCTCCAAGCAACATTCCTCATTATTATGTCTCAAATATTTAGGCTTTTCCTATAGATCCCTTAACCATATATCCAACTAACAGAATACAACCAGACACACTGTAACAAATTAAACAAAGATTGAATGTTTGTTTTATTATGTGGTGTATAGTATTTGCCATTGTATCACTCACTTAAATAATGGTATAGAGCAATATTAAGATAAGCATTATGCATTATTCTTTCAGAATACAATTTCAGATACTTGTTAAACAGCAGGCTGTTTACAAAAGGAAGTGGATCTTTTTCCTTGTGTATAATGTATGTTTTCAAAAGTAAATATTATAAAATTTGTCTGTTTACTTGTTAACTACTGGTTATACTATTTGTAATGTTGTAATATTGCCATATTTTATTTTAATCAAATAAAAATATTTATTAAGTTTATGTGGTTCAAAACGTTTTGCTTGAAGTTTCATTGCTAAACTTGTCTTCTTAATGTACACAGTTAAATGTTCAAATGTCATTCTGCATAATGGTTAAACCGATAATAATGATAATTTTGCAAAAAAAATTACTGTTGTCATTTTTATCCATTTATCCAGATTGACTGAAGGACACTTTCAGAAATATTTCAAATGCAGCTGGTCCACAATAAAAAATATTTAAAATCGTATCAGATTTTCAAAATGTGAGTGACAACAAACATGATGATAAAAAAAATCATAGATTTAATAGTTCCTCTAGTGTCACGATGTGACCAAGGGGCTGTTTACACCTGGCCACTTCATGCGTTTTCTCAGATCGGATAGCTAATTGATTTATCAAAACGATTTCATTTACACCTGGTCATGTAAAACTGTTCACGGAAAACGGATTGTTACGACCCATGTGATAAGGACAGGCTAAACGTGAAATTTTGTTATTGGTAAAAAGGAAACCAGGCCCAGCCGACAGATCATCAAAGACACAACTCTACATTACACAAAAGTATAAACTTAAGGTGGAAAAAGTAATTGAATTAAGGAGCAATGGCTTTAGGGTGCCGCAAGGCCAAAATAGACTTATAAACAAACACGTATAAATGACCTAATTGGGGTAGCCTGGGTTTCCCCATGCTGCCTTGCACCATGAACCCTGAAATAGGTAACCAATCACAGAACGGGGAGGGAGCAGCAAGACGATGACGACGTATATGCGACACACTGAAGCAGTTTGTTTATACCTATGGACCCATCTTGGCAGCGGACACGAATTTACCTTTCAATACAGCCTAACGTTTGACATTATAAATTACATATCGGCTCAACTGATTTGCAGAGGGGGGATTGAAAGCTGTTCTTTTACTGGTGACTCACTTTTTAAATTTTGACTTCATATAACATTAGCCTTTTTTGTTAATCACATATTTTACCATTTCATGTGTTTTAACAGCTAGATCATGTTGCTATGGACGCAGTTGTTAAAGAATTAGTTCACTTTTGAAAAAACTTTTGCTGATAATTTACTCACCCCCATGTCATCCAAGATGTCCATGTCTTTCTTTCTTCAGTCGAAAAGAAATTAAGGTTTTTGATGAAAACATTCCAGGATTTTTCTCCATATAATGGACTTCAATGGGAACCAGACAGTCCAAGGTCCAAAAGACAGTTAATAACAGTTTCAGATGCAGCTTCAAATATCTTTAAACGACACCAGACGATGTATAAGGGTCTTATCATGCGAAACGATCGGTTATTTCAAAACTTATTCCAAAAATGTAACTTTTCTAAGGACAAATGCTAGCCTTTCTCCATTCTCTGAGGCGCGTTTGTAACGTCACGTAATACGTAATTACGTTCAAAAGGTCACGGGCGACGTAGCCGGAAGTACAGAGTCAGTGTTTAAGTTGAACGCATAGGTTGAACGTGCAAACTAACTCAAATGCCGTTTACAAAAAAAAAAGGAATCAAAAGGTAAAACAACGATGTCGGACGATTTTGATTCTGTACTTCCGGCTACGTCGCCCGTGACCTTTTGAACGTAATTACGTATTACGTGACGTTACAAACGTCATTTTGATGTATTTGTATTTTGTACCTTGTATTTTGATGCCGTCTTCCAGGAGTGAGAAGTTGTTTCTTTAGCTCTTTTAAGGATACCTACTGGTTATACTTCTTTTTGTCTAGTACGTTCTAACATTGCAATATGTCATATTTCATTATTATCCAATAAACATATTTTATTACGTTTTTATGGTCCAAACTTGAAAAGGCACTACACAAATATAGCCTAACATGGCTTTAACACTATTCAATGTTCAAATGCAAATTCATAGGTTGACGTTTCCGTATTGTATATAGGCATGCAATACATTTGGAGAGCTGGAAACTGGTATTTTTGTTTTGTGTATTGTTAATAAGAGTTGTCATTAAAAACTCTTTAAAAGCATAGGTGTGTCTCCTTTAAGCAAACAGATGCTCAAAAACATTCTTCTAATCAAAGCCACACAAGGAATTTCTGAACACCATTGCATTGGATAAATAAGACACCCAAGCTCAGCTACCCCATCAAATGTTATAGTATTATTAACCAGAATAACGCTCCAATAAATTTAAGAGCTGGGCTACACCTGGGAATAATGGCCGAAGACAGAGGAATCTGGAGATCTGTGTATTGTGTGGGTGCCGTAACCTTATAACCGCGTCAAAGCAGCTGGTACATGGCAGGACTGTCCAGCGGCAATGCTTTCACGCTAAACACAGAGACTGGAGATTTCAACGTTGCTGCAATAGGTTCAGATAGAAAAAAGAAAGAAAAGAAAAATAGATGAGTGCAAATGATTTGGTGAAATGCAGAGAACAGCACAGCCATTCCCTTCAACAAAAAACAACTAGAGTATATTTGTGTGTCTCTGTGTGCCAGCGTATCGTATAGGGCTGTATAGGGCTATAGTATATAAAGCTACAGCCACTGGGCTGTAATAATATTCATAGATCTAGCATATATGACATTGTTTATCGACAATGTGTATGATTTGGCAATAGGGGACAGCCTATCCAATGGCTAAAATTGACTCCCCGAATTTTTTAAAACATGTTTGAAAGGTGTAAGGTACCTGGTTCGGCTCTTAATTCCTCTCACACAATGCGAGCTGCGGCCATATGTCCAATCGATTTCTCCAGGGAGATTTAAAGAATTCAACTTCGAGCTTGTACAACTGCAAAAAAAAAATACAGTGTGCTTTACTTAGTAACTTCTGAATATAAATGTGTCCTAGAGGGCTTTCTACAAACTACATACTAAAAAAAGAAATACAGTGGCCCATTCAAACTTGTTAGAAAATGCAACTATGTAACAATTCATAACTTTTTTGGTCTGGTTCTCAAGGGAACAGCTGGACATGGTGCTAGATACTCACACTTTACGTGGCACACTACTACAAGCTGTAGTTTCTTTCTCGCCTCCTCAGTTATGACGTAACGGAGAGAAAACTTGCTGGGACTGGTATTTTTGACATAATGTTGTGTGTATGTGTCCGTTCAAGCTCAAGTAAACGCGAAAGAGCAATCAATTTGTTGTTCAATCACCGTCTGAAACGCGCACGCGCATCCCCCCCTCCCCCTCTCCCTCTCCCCCTCTCCGCGGGCGCACAGATAACAGCGCGCGAGTCCTGATTTTCGCCTCATCTACCGCGGTTAAACCCGTTTGAATGTATAAATCGGCAATAAAAAACACGTCCAAATGCTAAACTTTCACTCTATGGTGATTAAACTTAGCAGTTAATCCGCATATCCGCATGCGTGGCGAACAGTGGGGGCTGGTCCGTACGGATCACGGATCAACTGCGATCCGTTGCACCCCTTAATAATTAATAAACACATTTATCATCATGATTGCTATCTAAAGATGGGGGGAAATTCCGATTCAGTAAATAAACGTGTTCCTGTCCCCACAAAAAGCACTTCCCTCCCTTTACGTTTTCTACTGCACATTGTTTATTCTCACCACGCATGCGCACTAGTCTTGTGTGCACCCCTGATTATAGAACTGACTGCAAAATAATACACAGGCATAGGGCCTACTCTAAATACACGTATCTAAAAAGCAAGAAAATATACTAATTCTGTACCTTGTACAACTTCAGGAAACAACATGATATAACAACAAAATATAAAACAAACTAAAAATAAATCTTGACTTATTCTATTCAGCACATGCAGAATAGGTTACCTTAAAACAATTACAACATATATAACAAAATATGATTTTTCAACTAGTGCGCACTGATTTTAATTTCACATGCTGTACAGCCTGAATTAAAATCAAAAATCCAGTACAAACAACAGTTCCTCCTATATTCGATCTTAAACCCTACTGCTCAACTTTAACCCTCACCATTAATGTTAAAGGGTTAGTTCACCCAAAAATGAAAATTAAGTCATTAATTACTCACCCCCATGCTGTACCAACCCCGTAAGACCTTCGTTTGTCTTCGGAACACAAATGAAGATATTTTTGATTAAATTTGAGAGCTGTATAACTACCACATTGGCTCCTAAGGGACTGCCTCTTGATGGCCCAAAAAGTCAATGAAGAAAATGTTTAAATATCCCAAGTGACTACCGTGGCTCAACTATATGTTTATCAAGCGACGCGAATACTTTTTGTGCGAAAAAACAAACAAAAATAACGAGTTTATTCGACTATTTCTTTTCTTCCTTGTAGGCCAGAACGAGACTTCCTTATAGATTTCCACGACGCATGCGCGAGAATTGCGATCTGAAGTAGTGTAACCTGGTGTAAGCAGATCGCAAATCTCGCGCATGCGTCGTGGAAATCTAAGGAAGTCTCGTTCTGGCCTACAAGGAAGAAAAGAAATAGTCGAATAAACTCGTTATTTTTGTTTGTTTTTTCGCACAAAAAGTATTCGCGTCGCTTGATAAACATATAGTTGAGCCACGGTAGTCACTTGGGATATTTAAACATTTTCTTCATTGACTTTTTGGGCCATCAAGAGGCAGTCCCTTAGGAGCCAATGTGGTAGTTATACAGCTCTCAAATTTAATCAAAAATATCTTCATTTGTGTTCCGAAGACGAACGAAGGTCTTACGGGGTTGGTACAGCATGGGGGTGAGTAATTAATGACT